TTTTATATAAGAGCAGCAATATGAAATGTTTACACGGTGACATGTCTGAATGATATATTTAACTTCAAGCCAAACATATGAACCTAGCTACGTTTGTACACATTTTCATGGTCATCAAATATTGCCGAATAGGCCGATCGAGCATAAGCTTGTGAAGTTAATGGTGTAGTTAAAGAGTTAAATAATTTCAATCCTTTAAAAACTATAATCTCACGACAGGTAGACCTACTTGCACTGGCCTGTATTTGAGCTGGCATGTAATTTTAAGCTTACAATCGCATAAACTATGAAAGTCGGAGCGACTATTAGATAACTAACCAAAGGAAATTGAGATTGTAATTATCCAAAAATATAACTTCTGGCTAAAATAGTGTAATTAACTTTTGAAAAAATGCCTAAACTTTGCGACTCAAAATATTTTATTTATGAATTAATGCATTAATACTATATATGAAATGCAAACTTAAAATACCTAAATACAATAGCAAGATCACAATTCTTTGATTTGACATTTTCATACTTATTTTGCTTAGGATTAATAATGTTTTAACCATTTGAAATCAAGTGTGCCTTTACAGCCGCTATGTCTGCTCTTGCTTATCATGATGAGTGGCTGAAAGTTTACTATAAGAGACTTTTTCCATGTGAAACATTTTCAAAATGGCTTACATATGACTACCAATGTAAAAATTTATCTAAGAGAGAATTTAGTTTTACACTTGCTGGAGATATATATGTTAGATATCAAAGTTTTGACTCTGCCACTGAATTCCGGAGGCACTTGCTAAATATGGTACCGCATAAGATTGATATCGGTGCAGTTTATTCCACAGCACCAAAGCAACATAGAACAGTTATGCCTATATCGTTTAAAGTAAGTTTTTATACCTTTATTAGATTTTGTTCTTGCTCACTTTATCAAGACATTATTATTTGTTATATTTTAGCCTATTTGGAAGGAATTGGTCTTTGATATCGATTTAACTGACTATGATGAAGTT